TCATTAGACTGGTCTACTGGAGGCACACTGGGCCAGCTTATCTACTGAATAATACCAGCTGTAAGTACCATTAATAACTGATGATTGACTATTAATAACTGGTAGTTTACCATACTTACTGTAGCTGGTAAAGTTTTGGATGATGGGATTTTAGAAGTTGCTGTTTCTCAATTATGTCCATTCAAAATGGCTGGTTTATTTTGACAAAATTGCTTTCAAAATCCTAAATTCACTAAAAATATTCTCTTCAAAATTACCAACTACATGTACAAAATATATACAGTATATATTCTATTTATTAGTAGTAATATTTTCCCTCCTGTAGCCCCATGGCCTCGTATTACAATATACATCAACCCTCACTCTCAGACCAGGCAGTTAATAACTAGCCACACCCCTCCACTATCAATAGACCTATCACTGGTACCTAATAAACTATCATTCCAGGACGTACTGGTACAGTGTATCAAGTATAGGTCACTATCAATACTGGAGAGACTCAAGAAACTCTTTAATGACACACCATGGGAGAATAAAGGTACAGTTTCTACATGTACATGTATGTATATACATACATGTACATATTAAAACAAGCGTAACAGGATAAAAAATATTCCTATAATTGATTTCACCACCTTGCAAGTACAACTTGGTCATTATTAAGACTTATAGAGGCTCTCTCTACCTTCTAATGCTTCTAGAGAAGTCTTTAGACAGTATCTCTATGTTCTCTTGCTGTTAGAAAGCTCTTAGCTTTGTCCCATGTGTAAGCCGCCATTTTGTTTGCCGTGGCCACACCCACTCACGTAAAGGAGCGTGGGCAGGTGGTTGCTAAGGCTTGTTATTTCTCCAATACAACGTGTATAGAAGAAATGTAAGTGTGGACATACAAATAAATAAATAAATATATATATATATAGATAGCGCGACCGTGAAATCAATTATAAGAACGACCTGGGGGCGTAGCCCCCAGGTCGTTAAAAAGGCTAAGTAGCTATAGTCGGTTTCAGTTGAGAAGAAACCACCACCACCCCTTATAACTTTTTTGTCACTAATGCTAGTAAATTGAAATTTGGTGTAGCTGCATAACAGGTTCTTCCGAAAATCCTTACCAATTTTTGAGATTCTAGGTACTATGGAAGGTTCTAAACGGGTTCTTCCGCTTGAGATGAAAGGAGCCGCCATGACGAATTGTGTGCGTCACTCTGATGAATATCATTTGCATCTCATTACATTTAGTCAAAAAAATGTTTTTTTTTTATTTTAAAAATAAAACAAAACATATCAAGCTCTCTAGACCTACTAATATTCAACTAGGAGCTTTCTCTTGAGGATAATTCTTGCCATATCACTCCACAGCCTCCTCAATCTTAGTTGTTCTTCATTGTGCCAGTACACTCGTTGATTCAGCCGTATTCTGAGCTCTATACCAGCTAAAGACGGGCACCAAAAACAAGAAAAGGATAAATGGAGGTAGCAGCAACCACTGTAGAGGTACAATAGATAGTAAAGTAAGTTAAAAGAGAAGAAACGCTCGAAGAATGATAGAGCTTGCAGATCGCAGCCATGTTTGGGCGGGGCTACACGTGACGTTTTAATGACGAATATATTGATTTACTTCCATTTCTTCTCAACTGAAACCGACTATACCCTGTAGTTACATGTACAATGTACATGTTTTAGTACAAAGTGGACGATAATTTTTGCCTTAAAATGTGTTAGAGGCTTAGAATCACAAGTATCCTTACTAGCCTGACCTGTAATGTGTACATGTACATGTATACTGGTGTTGTTGTTGTTGTTGTTGTTGTTGTTGTTTTGTTAATTATTGTTTATTGTTCTACATGTATCAGTGTGGTATGTTAATCAAGTTTCATAAATAATAATAATAACAATAATATACATGTAAATAAATAAATAATAATAAAACTAGTCTCATTAAATTTTAAGCCTCCTACAATCCAGTACATGTACAGTGTATGGTTGAAACCAGTGGAACTAGTTTATTAGTAAACTGTCTTGAGGACATTATGTACATGTTACTCATTACTGCTCCTCTCCCTCTCCCTCCATTAGCTGTCCTTCACTCCAGCCCTCCCTGTCTCTCCCTCTCTCTCTCCTCCTCTCTGGTGGATCATCAGTTGATCCTCTCAGTTGATATTAGGATAGGACTGGTGGTGGCTAGTCTGGAGGGTGTGGTCAGGCATAATAACGAGCTCATTAATAAAACCCTCCAATCAATAGAGGAGGAGCTACTTCATGATCCTAACCAGCAGTCATTAATTAAACACCTGGAGACACTACTGTGAGTAGCTGGGGCATGTACCGTATTTCCTTAAATAGAAGCCCGGGCGTCTATTTCCTAAAATGGTATTTGGACCTCGAAAAAATATATAAAAAAAATTAGGCCCAGAGCAGGGTTCGAACCCGTGACCTCGAGCTTTTGACTTCTGGAACTTCAGGCAGTATCCACTAGACTACTGAGTCACTCCTAGGCCTGTGTTACGTATTTATAGTTAAATTGTATTGCTACCCCGGCGTTTATTCAAATGAGGCTTCTATTTAAGGATTTACGGTACATGTATTAAATAATGATCATAATGTACATGTACTATAGTAATTCATTAAAATGATGTACATGTAAATAGGAGAGAGTTTTTATTACATTTTCTGACATTTCTGATACATTTACTTTTGATCATTGAAGTATCTATTTATGTACAAAAGTACATGTACATGTACTTGTACAGAATATACATGTACATGTATTATTAATTATTATTAACTATTACATTATCATTCCTCCATTAGCTGTCAGTTACACTTGTTCCAGTTGACTTGTCTCTCTTCTTCGGTTGGTCTCTCTCACTCCTTCTCCCTCCCCCTCCTCTCCCCCCTCCCTGAGGTACCCTCCCCCGTCTTCATTAAACTGGACCACGTCACCTACCTACTGGTATCAGTCTCTATTGAAGGGGGCGTGGCAGTGGGCGGAGTCACAGAGTCCTATTACATGTTGAGGGTGTTCCCCTCTCCTTATCTTCCGCTGGTTTCTGATGAGCAGATCCCTCGGTCTTTCTTTAAGATTGAGTCGTTAATTAGAATAAGTACCAGTAGCGCCTTTGATCACATGACAGGAATCATATCAAGTGAGACACGCCCACTCAATTAATTAATAACAATTAATTTATTATTTATTTTTAGTGTTGCAAGGAACTTCAAAATTAAAGCGAAAGGTAAAGTACATGTTTATTTATTATTATTATTATTATTGTTATTATTGTTATTATTATTATTATTATTATTATTATTATTATTATTATTATTATTATTATTATTATTATTATTATTATTATTATTATTATTATTATTATTAATTATTATTGTTATTA